GGACAAGTAGATTTTGAGAAATCTCAAAAATAAAAATTTTGAAAAACTGTTTTTTTTTTTGGAATAACTTTTAAACGGCTTTACCGATCGATTTCAAAAACTAATCAGCTCTTAACATCAAAAAATGACGTCGAATGTCGTTTGTTAAATAAAAATCGGTTCATTCGTTCGTGAGATATTCAAGAGGTGAAGAAGGAATTGAAAAAAAAAACGTTTTTTTTAACATAACTTCGAGATTTCGCCACATAGTTTGCACAATAGAATATTTCGACTGACTGACTTTAAATGTGGAGCGCTTTGCATTTGAAATTAGCGGAAACTTCCAGGGATGCTAGGTTAACCAATTTTTTATATAGCGCGTTCTGATATGTATCTTAAAGTAGGAGTCAAAATCCTGTTTCTTTCAAAGAAGGACGGGCATTTTTGTATGAGAGGTGGTCCAACTTATCAACAAAGTTCAAATTATTATAAATATAATCATTGTCTTATAGAAATAAGGTTATTACACTTTTTTATAATAATAGGAATTGGGATTTTTAATTATTAGAAATAAAAATAAAAGTTTTATAACGTTTATTATATTATAGAACAGCTCATTTTACAATAATACAACACCCCTATCAATAATTATAATTATTACTTTTTATTATTTTTACTCGTGAGATGACATATACTCACTATTCCTAATTATACAGCATAATAGTCAGATTATTTCGACTGTGTGGTATTTATAAAGCTTAATCTACAGTAGACTGGACCTATAATTTATCATCAATAATAATTTCATCAAGATGAAGGGCTGCTGGATAAAAATGATTATGTCTTCCAAATCCCATGTCCCACACAACCAAAAAGTAGGCGAGCGAGTTCCCGTTGTCGCTGCGTATGTGCAAGAGTCATTAAGTCTTTAAAATTCAATGAATTCAAACCTGATTAGAAAAGATTCTTCAGTAAATGCTCGCGTACCATCTTTTTAAAGGAGTATTTGTTCGGCGCTTTTCTGATATCATCAGGCAAGGAATTCCAGAGACGTGTAGTCCACACACTGAATGAGTTACCATGGAACCCGGTGAGATGAGTAGGAATATAAATCTCGTTATTAAAGGAAGATCGTAGAAACCTATCATGACAAGAAGACAGATATTAAAGTCGTTCTTTGAGGTAGGAAGGCGAATATGGATCATTTAGAATTGAAAAAAGAACAAGTATTATTCTGGAGTTACGCATTTGCCTTATGGTAAGCCACTTAAGCTGAGATCTGTAATGAGAAATATAAGCTTATCCAAAAGGCTAGCGTCAAACTCTGTCAAAGGCCTTCGAGACATCAAGAGAAACAGCAAGTGCTTCCCCACTGTTCTCGAGTACTCCACCCCATACATGTGTGGCATACGCTAAAAGGTTCCCAGCTGACCGATTTCAGCGAAAACCGTATTGCCGGTCACTAAGGTCATTCTGTTCAAGGTATATCATTAAGAGGGCGTTCAATATACGCTCCATAATCTTGCATAGCATGGAGGTAATTGATATTGGCCGATAATTGGCAGGGTCGGCACGGCTGCCTTTTTTGGAACAGGCAGCACGTTGGCCAGCTTTCAGGATTTTGATACTATTACAGTCCTAAATGAGAGGCACAATAAGCGTGTCAACACAAGAAACAACTCAGGTGCACAAGTCTTTAGAAATATAGCTGGCATAGCATTTGGTTCACAAGCTTTATTCACGTCTAGACACCCCAAGGTTTTATGAATCTCCTTATTTGTGATACAAACCTCCGACATAGAGGTACCGCAGTAATGTAATTTTGGTGAAATGTTGTTGCCATGGTCCAGATGTGAATTGTAGGCAAATAGAGACGTGAACAAGTCCGCTTTCTCTTTAGCCGTATGCGCCAGTGTGCCATCCGGTTTATAAGCGGAGGCAGTGTAGGCCAACAGAAGTTTGTCTCGACCGCTTTGGCAAGAGACCGTAATGTACTAGTGCCGGATAGTCTGGAATAAAGTTTTGCGCCAATATGTTTAATGCGATCGAGACTGGCTTTCCGTAATGCTTGTTTGTAGGACTTAGCGGCCTGGTTGAAAGTTATCTCCTTGGAGATGATATCCGGAGCTTTGTGGTTTAGTGCGACAACCCAGGATAAGACCGCTAAATGCTTGCATTTTTCAGCTTGAGTGTATTCAGCGTTAAACCATGGGCGAGCTTTGCTCCCGGTGGGAGCGTTAGAACAGGGGATAAAATACTCCATAGCTTGACGCAACACATTGGTTATAGAAGCCGCGCAACTTGACGGATCAGTAGGAGAGAAACAGACCCCGTCAAGGATAGGACCATGCAAAAAAGTGTCGCATCTTATCCCGATCACCTGACTTTACCGCCATACTCGTCGAATAAAAGCGTGGGAGTCTCAAAAATTGAAGCATGCTTTCGAAAATATATAAATCTTGTTTTGGATGCGTTTTACATTTTCCCGCGTTGGCAATTATGCCAAATATCTTCCCTATGAGGGAAACTACTGGGGAGGCTTATGTCTAGTAGTAGGTAGATAATATTTGATAAGCCGTAATGATCAACATTTTTTCGAAAAAGAACTGTCTTATGATTCCAGTTCTTGAATTCTGTATAACGTGTGTATCACATAATTGTTACAATAGATACTTATTTTCTCACATTAATTTTGTTTGCCTTATAATTTCCCCTTGAATACCGAGAATCATAAATTTCAAGAAGAAACCAAATAATTTGATTCAGATATTAATGTTTAAAAAGTGAAGAATTTAAAACCCGAATCATTATGCACTTACAAAGCAAAAGTATGATATATAACAACAATGATCGATATTTGGTGTCGACAATGTTTCTGAGTGGTTCCATCTTCAATTTATTTAAAAGAAAATTTGTTAAGTATGCTTTTAATACTGAATGTATAATTTAGCAAGTTTTAATAGTCCATAAATTACATTCAAAGTCATGATATTTAGTACAAACTTAAATCCGTTCTGATCTAAACTTTAAGTGGCGAAGCCAACAGCCCTGATCGTCGTTTATATAGAACTTAGCTTCTTTTTCACATTTATGTTTTTGGTTGGATCGTATTTAACTGAAATAATTGTGAAACTTAAATGTACGTTTTCTTATAAATGTTTTTTTTTGGAAAAATCTAAGTTACATAAAAGGGATTACTCAACTAGATTTTAAAATTCAATAAAGAAACTTAATAAGTCAAAGGCTTATATAAAGGAAAAGAGTTCTTTGAAAGGATTTTCGAACAATGAGCTCCATAATCGGCTTAGTAACTGTTATGTTGAACACTTTTAATTATTTCTAACTTTGTAATATTTTAGGGTAACTTGTTACGTTTATGTTTATTTGTTTTAGTTTTATGAGTTTTAGTTTCAACTTTGTTTGGCTTGAAAACTATATATATATTATTATTGCATTTTTCTTTAAAGCGTACTATATAACATTATAATGCAATAAAATATATTAATAATTTCAAAAAATATTCAATAAGTATCTCTTTTTTATAATTACCAATCCTTACTTAAGTAGTCTTCTACTTCAATAGCCCCAAAACTCTTTTAAAATCTTCTACCGCAGTATCAAACGTCTCACACCTATGACGCTGTTACCCATCGCCAGTTAACATATGTTACGACTGGAGTAAACGGGGTGATTGTACTTACGACTATCTTTCGGAAGCCTATTCCATACTACAACTAATTATATTATAATTTAGGAATTTCTCATAGTCGCCTAGGGTCACCTGAACGAGACGAAATATTGTAGTATTGGATTCTTTTACGCAGATACCTACGGAAAAAATAAATTTATAATGTCTGCTGATAGTTGGTGCAATTGCGACATTAATTATATATGTTCATTCAATAACTTTCATAAATTAGCATTTCATTACGTTTTCCATCGTAAAATAAATCCACAAATTGCATACATTTTAACATACGTGACAATTTAATTAAGGCAGTAGTATTATGTGAATTTTGTACATTTTCAGGGAAATAATGTATATAATATTAACAGAATTAATTTATCTAAGTAGGTAATGAGCTTTGTCACAGTCGTCGTCAACTTCAAAAGAATTACGAGTATGTTGTCTGTTTTGCATAACAAATAGTATACAGACAAACAAGATTTAATTATTTTGTCACATTTCGATAGGATTGACATAGTCCTATAGTTTTGTTCATTGATATTGGTTTTCGGGGTGGGCGTTTCAAGGGATTTTCTAATATTTTCGGAAAATCTCCAGAAATCTGGGATTTATTAAAGATAATTTTGTTTAATTCGTATATAAGAAGTATTGGAGGTTGTCGTAATTCGTATATCATTTAGATAGGCAAGTAAATAGTTAGGTAACAGTCAGAGTAGACCCCGTTGATTCTGACACAAGCACTAGAGTCCTTATAGAGCGACCTCAATCCCTGTATCAAAATAGCGCTCAACCTAAATGAGTTTAGTGTTTGCCATAACACAGTCCTGTCTTCTCTGTCATAAGCCTTTTCCAAGTCCATGAACGCACAAAAAACTTTCTGGTTTTTTGCCAAAAACTTATCCACATTCATGTTCATGGAAAATACTTGATCTTTACACCCCGTTCCCTTTCTAAATCCCGCTTGCACATCCCAAATATTTCCATCACTTTCTATCATAACTCCTTCAATTAACACCTTAGCATACATTTTTACCCACAATACTAAGCAAGCTGATACTTACATCTTTACTTACTGAAATACTTTAATAACTAGTACAAAAATTATAATAATAATAATAATAATTGGCGTAGGGAATTGACGACCCCATCGCCCGCTGACGTAACAGTTAAGTGACAAAACTGCTACGTCAACGCAGTCAGTCAGCGCCTTGCGAGAGGTGTGAGCGCCGTGCCTCGGTAGAATTCAGGGTGCAAAGGCCTGTTTGTGCTTATGGCCGTTCACGATACGGTGCCGGGCCTGGGCGTCTCCCGTTAATGGACGCCCATATTATGGATGATGGAGGAAAAGATAGTGCGCAAAGGGCCGCTGCCTGGAGGTCGCCAGGGCGCGTCTGGAGCTGGCGCTGGACGCGACAGCATGCGGGCCGCCAGCCGAGCGCGGGGTGTTGCAAGACCACCTAGCAGCCCCCCGCATCCATCATCCCCACCAGAAGGCTTGGTGTCGGCTGGGTCTTCTCGGACTCAGCAAGCGGCACCCGCCGCTGGTGGAGCACGTCGCATGCGTTGGTCTAAATTAATGAATGAAAACGCACTGCGGGCGTATTTTAGGGCAAAAGGGGAAGAAACTGGATGTTTGGCGTATCGGGCTCGGATGCATCGCTTTTTTGCAGAGCTGGAGCCATCTCTATCCGTCACTGAGCAAAACCTGGCAGACCGAGTTAGGTACATCCTGCGCTCCAACATATTTGGTGACGCCGAACTCGAGCGACTACGACGTGAGGCTATTTCTTCATCGAATGGAAATGCTACGGCTGGGAATGCGGCGCCACTAGATGCGCAACAAACTGCATATGTGGATGCTGCCGTCAACATTCCATTTGTGGCTAATTCAGACGATGATGGAATAGTCTCCCACGAACTAGAGAAAATGAGGAGCATATTGGAAGAGTCGATGCTGGAAATGCGCAGCATGCCTCTCGAAAATCGACCGCGACTTCCTTGCATACCCCTTAGCAAGCGAAATCGGGCTGTCGTGCGGGCTCTTAACCCAATGCTGGTGACCTATTTGGAAGCCAGCCGGGACCTTTGCGAGACGGATTCAATTCTTTTTGGCGCCGCACTGGCAGTATGCCGTATTATTGGCGCCAAACTTCCCGTGGCTGGACGTGCTACTCAAAAAAGTAGCGCCATCCCAGCCTGGAGAAAAAGAATTGAGGACCGTATCGCAAAGGCAAGGGCCCTTATCGGCAGACTGACAAGTCGGTCGGGTAATAATAGACCGAGGATTATGCGCACCGTTAGGATGGCGTTTGCTGGGACAAATATCAGTTTGTTCCAGCCGGATATCACGCAAAAACTAACGGAGCGCATAGATGACCTGAAGCAAAAAATCGCTGCTTGGGGGAAGCGGATTCGACGATTTAGCGAGAGGTCAAGGTGGTTCAACCAGAATCGTCTCTTCCAGAGTGATCAGAAGAGGCTCTATAAAACAGTGGAGCGACCAGAGGTATGTGGAGCGGGCCCAGGACCGGATCAGGCTGACACAGTCGCATTTTGGCGTGGCCTGTGGTCAGAGCCCGTAAACCACAGCGAGGGCCCTTGGATGGAAGTTGTGGCGAGCCAGAGTGCAAGTGTTACGCCTATGGACCCCGTCACCATAACGCCTGAAGACGTGGCTGAGGCGGTCCGTAGGGCCCCGAACTGGAAAAGTCCGGGGCTCGACGGGCTGCATCATTACTGGCTGAAGGGGTTCGTAGTGTGTCACGCTGTGCTCGCCCGACAGTTTCAAGAGGCTCTCGATCAGAAGTCGCTCCCGAGCCTCTTCACTACTGGGATCACTCATTTGGTTCCTAAAGATCAGGATACCACAGACCCGAGCAAATACCGCCCCATCACGTGTCTACCCACCATATATAAGACACACTTTTGGGCGAGAATCACTCGTCACCTGGAGCTAAATCAGGTGATGTCACGCGCTCAAAATGGATGCCGGGGCGGGGGTCGTGGAACAAGGTGACAAAGTGGTGAAACGCAACCGTCGGAATTTCTCCGCCGCCTGGATAGACTACAGAAAGGCATTCGACTCGGTGCCCCATACATGGCTAAAGAGAGTCCTCCAGCTGTACGAAATTGACTGTACAGTTAGAGACTTCCTCGAGCAGTGTATGGGGCAATGGAGTACGATCCTTTGCTATCTGGGCGAGCGGATGATGGCTGCGGAGAACCACATAAGGATAAGAAGGGGTATCTTCCAGGGCGATTGTCTGAGTCCAATCTGGTTTTGCCTCTCCCTGAACCCTCTCAGTACTTTACTGGAGGGCTCCGGGAGGGGATTTCAGCTTCGGAAAGGAGGTACAAAAGTGACCCACCTTTTCTATATGGATGACCTCAAGTTATTCGCCTTCAGTCGCTCCCATCTTATGGAATTGCTAAACATCACTTGTGAATTCAGCAATTCTATTGGAATGGAGCTGGGAACGGATAAGTGTGCGGTCCTCCACGTTGAAAGGGATAGGGTTGCTAACTCTGAGGGCATAGACTTATCTATGCCCGTCAACTTAAGGACCCTTTCCGAGGCTGAAATATACCGATACCTGGGTATGTCACAGAACATCGGTATCGATGAGGCTGGTATGAAACAGTCAGTTTGCGACGTGTATTATGCACGCTTGACCAAAGTGCTTAACAGCCTTTTGTCCGGTGTGAATAAGACACACGCATATAACGGCTGGGTCATGCCTGTCCTCATGTATACCTTTGGCATACTCAGGTGGACTCAGACTGAACTTAACACCCTGGATAGAAAAGTCCGCACTACCATGACGTCCCACAGGATGCATCATCCGAGATCGTCGGTAATGAGGCTGTACTTGCCGCGAAAGCATGGTGGGCGTGGCTTCTTGAGCGCGCTCACCGTGCATAATCGCGAAGTGTGCAGCCTCCGTAATTACTTTCTGGCGAGATCGGATGATCCATTCTATAAGGACGTCATTTCTAGTGATAAAGAACTTACCCCTCTACCCTTAGCCAACGAGCAATGGCAAGACCCGGCAGTGCAGACAATTTCCGACCGGGAGAACGTATGGAAGGAGAAGGAGCTCCACGGGAGGTTCTACAAGGCTCTACATGAGCCTTTCGTAGATACAGTAGCCTCCCTCCACTGGCTACGCTTTGGTGATCTCTTCGGGGAAACCGAGGGTTTTGTCTGTGCAATATAGGATCAGTTATTAAGACCAACAACTATCGGAGATACATCCTAAAGGATGGCACCGTGGACATCTGTCGAGCTTGTCGCCATCCCGGTGAGTCACTTAGGCATGTCATCTCCGGTTGTTCGGCGCTTTCTAACTCTGAGTACTTGCACAGGCACAACCTAGTAGCCAGAATTCTTCACCAGGAGCTCGCTCTGAAATACGGTCTCGTGGATCGGAAATTGCCGTATTACAAGTACTTGCCGGAAGCCGTGCTCGAAAATGATCGCGCCAGGCTCTATTGGGACCGGGCCATCATCACAGACAGGACTATTCTATAATAGAATAAGGGCGGATTCGACCAAAGTTAGTATAAGTCTTATCCTGCGAATAAAATCACTAATACTCTAGAGTTAGAGAACTTTTCGTTTTACCAAATCTTAACCCGGGTATAACAGACTATCCGAGAGTAAATCGCTATACTGCCAAAATTCATGGAGTAAACAAGTTATCCCAGAGTATTTTAATGGCCACCGCTACATTTTGACAGCTGTTTTCGAATGCTTTGTTGTAAAAGTAGGAAATTTTATCGTTGTGCATTTATAATATCTTATACTTTTGTAATAATAGTAGGCTTTATTTTTTTAAATAATGCAACGTTTACGAAATATGATCGAAGATTCTGACAGTGATGAAGAATACATTCCAAGGCGTCCACGATGGATAAGAGAAAGGAACAATTATTTCGATAACTATGATGACCGTGACTTCGTAATAAGGTTTCGATTGTCCAAAGAAGCTACTTTGTGTCTTTTATCCAAAATCGAGCATCAACTGGAATATACATCAAACCGGTATGTACCTACACACCTTTCACTATATATTTGTCTACATAAACATTGGTACACACACACCTACCTAGATATATTTTTTCTAAAAGCTTTGTGTGTTGCTCGAAGACTTAAAACTAAAATATTATAGTAAGTAGTAGCAGTAGTAGTAGTTAGTACCTATGTTATCTAAAGTTCCTTTTTCTTTCAGAAATTTTTCAATATCTCCAGTAAATCAGTTGTTGGCCACTTTGAGATATTATGCAACAAACTGGACACAAACAAGCATTGGAGACTACTGTGGTCTAAGTACACCGACAGCAAACAAAATTGTACACAGAGTTAGTGCTACAATAGCTGCATTACATACAGAATACATAAAATTTCCTGAATCGCCTCAAGAAATAAGATATGAACAAGATAAATTTTACCAAATAGCTCGCTTTCCAAGAGTAGTTGGAGCCATGGACTGTACACACGTTCGCCTCACATTCGTACATTTAAGACTGGAAGTAGGTGGAGAACAAGCAGAGACATTTAGAAACAGAAAAGGATGCTACTCCATTAATGTGCAAACAATATGTAATGCCAATTTAGAGATAACCGACATAGTCGCAAGATGGCCAAGTTCAACTCACGTTAGCACTATATTTAATAATAGCGTTCGAAAAGCACATTTTGAGACTGGTCGCTATGGTAATGCATTATTATTGGTGGACAGAGGATATGCTGCAAAGAGTTACACTATGACTCCATTAGAAAATCCAAGGACACCAGCTGAACAACTGTACAATGAGTCACAAATTCGTACTAGAAATCCTATAGAAAGGTGCTATGGTGTATGGAAAAGAAGATTTCCAGTGTTTGCACTTGGGATGCGAGTAAAATTAGATAAAGCACTAACTGTTATCATAGCCACAGCAGTACTTCACAACATGTTGCGCAGACGAGGAGAACAACTTCCACCTGATGACCCAGAAGTGCTATTGCCAGCTCCATGGGATGAACTTATACAACTTGGCCAAATGCAAAGGTCAGAATCAGCACAGCAATCTACTGGCCAGTTAGCACGCAATTCGTTAATAAGTAATTATTTTTATAGTTTATTGTAGCTATGGAATGTAGATTGCAGTGATTCTTAATTTTATTAATCCAAATTTGAAAAAAAGTATAAAATAAAACATTGAAATAAATAAATTTAATATTTTATTGTTTATTGTTGAATTTCTTTTTCTTTAATCTTAAATCTAATAATAAAATACGGGTCTTTAATTTTTCTTGTTTTAATTGTTCCCTTTTTTATTTGTAAATCTAGATCTGTAACTTCATTTGAATGAAGTAGCTCCTTCTCAGCAACACTCTCCTGAAAACCAATTGCTTCCATTTTCTTATCATGCAATTTCTGCAATGATGATGAAGGAGCTACATATGTAGGTCGCCTTCTTGAAACCCAAATTATGCCTCTCTAAGCTATCTGGGGCAACACTGTCACTGTCAAAATGGTTGAAAAGCCCAACAGCACTTGTTTTAATTAATGATATGATTTTGGAATCTAGAGGATCTTCTTTCTTTGGATTTGTTGGTCCACCACCTAAAATAGACAAAATTATTAAAGTAAAAGTATTTAAAGTATGCCATTTCTCACATTTTCAAAATGTTTCTAACATAAATAATAATCCTATTATGTAGGAGACAAAGGAAATAAATCACTTATTCGGACCGCATCATTGTACTATCAAGTGCTTAATAATAATGGTACATTGAACACCTAAAGATCTTTGGGATAAGCATGTTCCCAGTTGTGGCTAATACTATATAAATGTACGTAGGCATATCTCAGTCCGCTGCTCCTCCAGTTATAAGCTTATAGTTACTCCTGTCCATATTTCTAATGTATACCAAAGATTTATAGGTTTTTAGCCTAAATAACTGGATCAACACAAACATTGATAAGGTAAGGCAGGATAAAAACTAACTGTTTGGATTCTATGCATCCTCCTGTATGATTCCTCCTTTTTGGCCTTTTTTTTTCATATAATCCCACTCATTTTTTAAATTTTCTGCTGTACGCGAGCAGTGTGTCGTTTGGCTATTGTATTGGTGGGATAAAATTTGCCATTCGGCAAATTTTTGCTTCATCGTAACACCATCTGCTTTTTTATTTTCGATGACACGAAAATGTTTTTCTACGAGTCCTAACAACAAACTCTTTTCCGAAGGTAACCAATTTGGGCTACGTTTTCTTTTTTCTCCAGACATTTTATTTGAAAATATAGGAAATAAGGGTAAGGTTAGAATAATCAACTGACAAGTCGCGTGTTAATTTTAATGTTTGTTCAGTGACAGTGACAGTTGACACTATTATAATCCGGCAAACTTTAAATAGACAGAAAGTCTTGCATTGCGCTATATAAACAAATGTATTTCGATTTTAGTTGGCTTACAAGTTCATTCATTTTTCATTCCCCAACTCTAGAGTAACAATACCCAGTATTGGCTACTCTCCGTTTGTGTTGGAAAAACACAAACCAAATTATCCGAGAGTAAGAACAAGGAGTAAATTTATTCGAGGGTTAGTTACTCTGGAGTAACATTGAATTTGGTCGAATCCGTCCTTAGCCTGATATTGTGCTGATGGACCGGGCACAGTCAAGGATATTTTTGGTCGACATTACCATTCCGTATGACGAGAACCTCGTGAAAGCCGAAACAGACAAGCAAACAAAATATCTGGACCTGGCTCACGAGGTGACTGACATGTGGGGTGGTCTGCCGACTGAAATTATTCCTGTAGACGTCTCTGCAAACAGGCTAATCCCAGTCAGCCTCTCGGGTCATCTGAGGCGACTGGGACTACGTGGCGGACCGCTCCGGGCTCAAATGCAGAAGGCGGTCTACGCCCGATCGTCCGCCGGTTTCTTTCCCTTTCCCCCTAACCCTCGGCCGTTTGGTCTCCCCTGCCGAGGGCCTCCATCTGGTTGGGCTTTTATTTATTT